GGGGCATTTGTGTGGGATAACCTACAGATTTCCCCCGTGTGATAACGTCCTTAGTAGGGGTAACAATGTCTTTGGTAATCCCAAGGTACAAATAGCTTGCTTTATGGTGGATATGAACTTCATTTTCAACACTGAGATTAAAACTCAAGCAGTCCAGTTTAGAGTACTCAAGGTGTTCTGCTTTGCATATAACACTGGCATGTTTGTTTGTTTGTTTTTTCATTTGTAACAATTATATTTTATTTATTTGCTTAGGAGATTCTGCAAAATACCACGTCTAGCACTGATGCTTGTCAATTGTCTTGCCCTGACGTAGAAAATTAGACAGAGACCAAACTGGCTGGGGATTCTAAAAGCTGTGGACCCCAAAAGTACCTTTTCCACCAGTTTACAAAACCAATACTTTCTTCTTTTACAGTCAAGGGGGATTTGGAGTTCAGAGGAGGAGGTGACCTGGGAACAGTGTTTGAGGGGTTCTCCTTTAATTTTTCACTTCTTCTTATACACTTTTTTTCCTTAAGGGGCTCAAGGGGAATTTTGCTCAGAGGAAGTGAGCCAGAGACTTGCCTTGGGAAGGAGCTGGTATCCAGGAGCTCTCTAGATAATTATAGGCCCTGTTGATTGAGCTCGCTAACAGAGCTTGGGGACAAAAGCCAAGCCAACAGGGGTCATTTACATTGGTGTTTAACACGGGAAGCCCACAGTTGAGGGGGAAGCCCACAGTCTTGTTTCAGTGCCTCCTTAAGACTTCTCAGTATGGACACTGAGGGACCTGCTGCAGTCACATGCAACACTTGTGGGATGTTTGTCTTCTTGCCTATGGATGACTTCACCTGCACCAAGTGCAAGTTGGTGGCCCTCTTGCAAGAGAAGGTCTAACAGCTGGAGGCATCTTAGGGAGCAAGAGGTTTTTCTGTACAGAATGGACTGGACGGTCTTGGATGGGGAACACAGAAAGGAAGTTGCTGGGGAAGAGGTCACTTCACAGACACAGGAGGTAGACAGCTGGAGGAATGTCACACACAGAAGTAGGGAAACCAGGGATCGTTCTGGGAGCTTGCAGCTACAGAATTGATTTGAAGCTCTCTCCCTTATCAGGAGTGATGAGGAAGAACAGCAGGGGCAGACTTCAGGGACAGTGCAGGGGAGCCTTGGAGTACCACCGCAGAGTATAGCTGCTGCTAAGCCTTGGAGGAGGCATGTGGACTCCTTGCTGAGTGGTACCAAAGCAGTGGTTTGTGGGCCTGACAAGATGTCTTGGGAGGTGTGTGGTATCCCTGGGACAAAAATCCATGATGTGAAAGCCAGGCTGACAAGACTTGTCAAGTCTATTAACCATTACCCCTTCTTTTTGGTCCATGTGGGAACCAATGATACTGCAAGTCATAGCCTCCAGAATATCAGAAAGGATTATGAGGCTTTGTGTAGGAAGCTGAAAGGGCTGGATGCACAGATTATCATTTCATCTCTTCTTCCAATTGAAGGGCATGGTTCAGGAAGAGAGAGGAAATAGCAGATGTGCATAACTGGCTCTGCAGATGATGCCACCAAGGATGATTTGGATTCTTAGATCATGGGCTACAGTTCAGTGAGGGTGGACATCTGGCAAGAGATGGGTTGCATCTCACACCAATTATAATAATAATATAATAATAAATTTTATTTATAGCCCGCCCCTCTGCT